TATAAGTAAAAATCATGAATTTTTTAGAGTTAACTTTAGCGGTGCATCAAATATTTTTTTACACGGTTCATTAGCAACCTCGTTCTACAAAGTAGAATAATAAATTAATTCCTAGCTGTTCTAAACTTTTCTAATCCATAAGTAGCTACAGCTGCAAAAGTACAGGACGTGCAGTGGGGCAGTATATTTATGAATTTATTAAAAGGTTACAACATTAACATATTGCAAGTAAAATTGTTTAAAAACATTTAAAAAAATTTACCTTATACCAAAGAATACTTACAATTAATAATAATTACTCTTTGCTTATACTTAAAATATAAAAATTTCATTAAATGCTGTCTGTGTAGGTTAAATAAATAAAAGCTGAAGTTGTCCCTTTTTGTGACTAAAAATGCATTTTAAATTTTTGAAAAATGTTTGATAATAACTGAGATATCACCGAAAAACTGAAAATTTCAAATTTCGTTTTCATTTTCCCCGCCTAAGGGGTTGGAAATTGTCGGTTCCCGTTAGCTATGGGTATCTTTTTTCGTAGAATCTGGATCTGTTATCAGCATTTCCATGATAACACGCTGGATGTAGAAGCTACAGGGTCTTATTTTTTATCGGCGACATATAATTCCAGTCATTTCATGCCAAAAAACTGCAAATAGAAAAAATAATTCGTGTAGTTTCAATTTGTTCGGGAATGTCTGGGGAAAGGTCCCCTGATGATTGTGTAATAAAGTCCCGACTATACCTGGAAAACGGTGAATCGAAGGACAAAATTTTTTTATTAAAATCGAAAGCACATAAAATTTGCTACAACTGTGTTTTATACATATTTTCGAAAAATTAGCCCTTTGAAGGTGGGCAATTTTCAGAAAACTCACGTTTTCGATCGAATTTTTCCCTCTAGTGGTATTATGAAGTTGTAGGAAATTAAATTTCCATCAAGAAGCACTGTACATTTGCTAGTTCCGCTCAAAAAATAGGCTTATTTGGTTATTCGCTTCACTCCCTAGCCTTCTAAGATCAGTGTACATGGTCCACATGTGGTAGTTTACATAAGTATGAAGTGAATACCTTATGTATACATTATATCTTAGTGTTAGGGGTCCATAAGATAAGTCTAATTTTTTTGATAAATGATGATAAAGATAAATGACCAAATAATGTAAATGATTCATGAAGGAAATTTAACTCCCCACAACTACGTAACAAGTAAACAGATAACTAGCTACAGGGAAAAGTTCGGCTCAAAACCTGAGTTTTTTTTAAATTGCTCACTTTCAGGAGACCATAACTGAAAAACTACGCGTTTTTTTTTCGATGAAAAATATAGGAACAAATTTTATGAACTTTCGCTTTTGATATGAGACTTCGAGATATTATAGGAGAAAAACCTCAACCCTCAGCCCCCCTTCCCCAGGGGTGACTCGGGATTTTATTACACAACCATCAGTGGACCTTCAACCACATATTTGCGAAAAAAAATGGAACTACACGAATTATGTTTTCTATATTTTCTAAAATGGCTGGACTCTCCTCTATCTGATTCTGTAAAAATCCAATATGGCGTCCATAAGAAATAAGCAAGTAGTGAGTATCCTGTAGCTTCTACGCTACACCTAGCGTGTTATGGAAATACTGATAACAAATCCAGATTCTCCAAAAAAAGTGCCCGTAGAAGGGGCTAACGGGAACGGGAACTCGCCGCTTAACATAGGGAAAATGAAAACGAAAGTTGACATTTTCAGTTTTTCGGCGATTTTTCAATTATTTTCAAAGATTTTTCAAAAATTTCACATAGGTTTTTTTAGTCACAAAAAGGGGCAACTTTGATTCCGTTACGGAGATCTACACACCCACCACCACCCGTACCTCTCCCCTTCCTTAATCGAAACTGACAATTAGTCTAAATATCTTCTATACTTCTTTCTATTCTTTTCATTATGATGTTCGTCAGGATTTTAAATGCATGGGTAACCAAACTAAGCGTTCTCTATTGCTTTGAAATACCTTTGCTTTTTTTGGTAACGGTATTGTGCTGCATTTTTTAAATATCCGACGGTAGTTTTCCTGTCTCATATACTTTACAAACCAAATGGAACAGTTCATCACGCACCTGTTATTCCCTGCTGCTTTGATTAGTTCCGCTGGCAATCCGTCTACACCAGGGGCATTGTGATCGCTTGATCAAATTCGTCCCGTAAAATGCAATCGCCCATTTCCTCCGAGTCCACTTCACATTCTCTTTCCAGCTCTTCTCTACTAAACCCACTTCCACCTTATACTGCTTCAATTTTTTTTGCAATACCCTTATCTTCATACAAAATTGAACCATTATCATTTTTTAAGCTATGTGCTACTTTTTCCAAAAAACTGCTTAATTGTTTTGTATGCCTTCTCGAATTTTCCCTCCTTAATTAATACATCCATTTCCTTACAATGATCTTCCAAATAGTTTGCTTCCCTGCTTATTTCATTCCTTATCGTTGTATACTTTCTTTCTCCTTCCTCTGTATGGTCTTGTTTCAACTTTTTAGCGCATTTCCACAAAAATAAAAAAAAATGCGCTATTGTGGCCACTTTGTCCGTCCGGCCGTCCGTCCGCTCGTTTTGCGACGCTACTAGTTCTTTATCTTAAGAGCTATTGTTCTACTTTTTTCGCTATTTGGTTCGTTATGGTGTCGAGTCTTGTACCAAGGAAGGAATTTTTTCTGTACCGCTTACAAAAAAAGTTATTGTAAAAAAAACAAAAAACCGTTTTTTACATGTTCCATAATTTTACACTTTTGCCGTTTATTAACGATCCTAGAGATCGTTTATAATTTTGCATTGCTATCTGTCGTCTGCCTGTTGGTCTGTCCGTCTGTTCCTTTGTCTGTCTGTCCATCTATCTGTCCGTGTGAACGATAACTTTGTTTAGAAATGTTCGATCGCTTTTACATCTCCGTTAGTTATGAACTGAATTGCATGAAATTCAATATGGGCATAGCTTTAGCCATATAATACGCAATGCCAAAAGTTGATCGAATCGATTCAAAATTCACAGTGCCCTTTTCGCATCTCGACCATTTATAAACCGAATTGCAAACTTTTTTACTTATAAAAGTATTTAAACGAAATTTGATACATAGGCACTTGGGATAAAGGAAAATCAAACGCCAATTTCAAAATTTGGTTTTGCGCATGCGCAGTGCCAACTTTTTTATTTATGGAAGAATTTAAGTGAAATTTGATATTTAGGCGCTTGGAACAAAGGAAAATCTAACATTAGTTTCAAAATTTAGGTTTGCGCATGCGCAGTTCCAACTTTCTTATTTAGAAAAGCATTGAAATGAAATTCTTCTCATAAACTGAAATTGAAGTCGCACGTCAAAAATGGATTGCCCATGTGGAACGCTATCTTTCATATTTGTGGCCGGATTTTTACGATTTTAATAGAAGTTGCATCTTACAAATGGGAAATGAATGCAAGTGGAAATGCGCTTTATGTAAATCGTTTACGATTACTTTTTAACTTGCTTCCTTTCCTACTTTTAGCCTCTGTTATACACTTTCTTCTAGTATGTGTTTTCTGACGACCTATTTCTATTTCTGCGTTATTTATTATACTAGTTTTTAAGTTCACCCATCTTTCCTCTATACCCTCTATTCCTGTGATCACAGATATATTTGATTTTTTACCAGTCTTATTTCCTCAGATTTTAACATCTCTAAATTCCATTTGTGACTAGTTTTCATTCGGTCTTTTGAATTTCAGGTCATATATACCTAGCGCCAAATTATGGTCACTGTCGACATTTGGCCCTGTAAAAGCTCTGCCTCCGAGGATGATTAAACCATGTGTTGCATACCACGAATTGGTGCTGCGTGTAAAATTCCACCAGTCGATTTCCTCTTTAATCCTTTCGTCAACCCGAAAAGGTCCCACCATAATCCCATCATTCCCTTCTCTCACTACCGCATTCCGGTTTTGCATTATAATTAAATTGTTTTCTCCCTTAAGATTACGAAAAACCTCATCATCGTCCTAACTAGTACCATTGTTTAAATAAATACTAGTACCTAGTTGGTAAATAATCTTCACCATCCTGTTTGGTTAAGTATCTATACTGACTCCTCGTCGATTTAAAATTTTTAAATCCCCAAGTATTGCTTCATTTGTCTAGAAATCGAGACTTGATGAGGGTGCACCTATTCTTTTTGTTAAATGATTTGCTTACAGGCGTCATTAGCAACCCTGTCCTGTAAAATTGAATAAAAATCTCGTAAAATATCCCGAGTATAGAAGTTTGGTGGTGTATCAAGCGATTTTTCTTAATTGTTTAAGCCTACAGTCTTAACTAACAAACCCTATCCTATAACTTTGAATAAAAATATACCTAGTTAGGTTAATGTAAAAAGTGGTGGATCATATATTTCTTTTATGTGGTATTAAATTTGGCATCTCCCGACTTTTACCTTTTCTAATAATAATAATATAATAATATTTATTCCTCAATATAATAACATGATTTACAATAAAACAGAAAATTAAACTTGGTAAATAAATCACATTGAGAAATATTGTGGGTCCCATACACAACGTCCGTGGTGAGACCTCCCTCGTGTATTGCATATTATAGGTATACCCGCGAAAAGAGAATTAGAGCCAGTCAATTATAATAACAAAAACCAACAATATAATAATAATGAATAAAGCTGAAAAGATTACGGATTACATTTACTAGCAGTCTTTAAAATTTGAGTTGAGCTGGGAATAAAATAACTTGTAAACTACGATCATAAAATAACTTAAAAATAATTTCAGAGAATCCAAAAAGAAAAGCATAATTATATAAAACATAAAAAATCATGAGAACTATTTACGAAGCCACATAAAAACTAATCCGCAAAACTAAAAAAATCATCCTCAATGTTTTCCGTAGCCAACAAGGGTTTTTTAAGTTGCAATAAAAATACATTGAGATTACTTTTGTTGTCAATTTTAGGAGAAACGAGATTGTAAAGTCGCGGTGCATTACACGAATAAAATTGTTGATGCAGAGTTAACTTTGAACGAGATATTGTAGCTGGTAAAGTATGTCTTAGATTATGCTGCTTATCAAAATTGCAAAAGTTATTACTGCTTCTAATATAAAAAAGTCTCAATACCTTGAAAACGTACATATGTCGTAAAGGTAGAATTTTTAACTTTTGCAAAATTGGCCATGAGTGTGTCATTTTACTATTTCTAGTAATTACCCTTATATACCCTTAGATATTTAAATGTCTAAAATATTTACGAAAATCATATCAAAACCAATTTCGGATTGAGCAATTTCTATGAAATTAGACATTTGGAAGATTCCCTAAAAGTTTGCCATGTAAATAATTTGGAAAGTATTCGGGCTTGGCTTAGGAATTCGATTAGATTGATGTAATGGATTTTTAATGCTTACCTACGTTTAAATATTTATTAAGATTATTATGCAAAAATGCCCATATAAAGAATAAGCTATTAATACAAATTGAGATTGACCTCCTAAACCTAAAGGAAATCAATTTACGTGATTATTCAACTGGCGTTCCACTTAAATATTAAAATAAATAAGCCGATTTAATTATTAATCAAACGTAGGTAGGTAGGTTTTACAGATTTTTCCTTTGAAGCACGCGTCCTCGCAGCATGTGTTGAAAGGATGTGGGCAATCGGCTGGCGTTACGCACGTTGTCGGATTGGGAAATATGCGTTTGTAACTGCGACATTCCTCGGCGGAAGGGTTTCCTAACGCTGGACATCCTGAAAGGGAAACACCTTTGAGGGTGTGCACATTATTTACATCTTTAACTTACTGTTTTTTGATGGTTGCGATACACACGGAGCGGAGGTGGATGTAGTTTCTGTTCGTAATTTAACATGCGTTAGTTATTGCACTCAATCAATTAATCAATTAGTAAGTGATTAGTACGTTCGTTTATTTTAATTAATAAAGTTTCAAATTAACAAACTAATTAAAGTTAGGCGGTCACAGCCGGCTTGCAAATGTGAGTTTCCAAAATGTAATGGTAGCAACACTTGTGTCGTACGGAAAATGTCTTGCAATCCGTGTCAAACTCGCACTCCACCAGCTCTCCAAGGGATGATCTATAATCCTCGTCGTCATTATCCTCTGGACAATGCCATTCTAAAACCCAAAAATGAATGTACGCGCCCTCTATTAGTCAAGCCGGTTCCCTACGTTATACATTTCAGGCATCCTTCACTAGGTGACCCTTTTCAAGTAGGAAATCTATACTTGCCTTTAGTTGAAGTCGACGTGTTCACTACGACTGTTACAGGACCCTGCGGTTTAGGGGTAGGTTTGACGACGATACTCGGGCGCGTTACCGGTGGATACGGAACGGGGTAAAATGGTCCCGGGTAAATAATAGGGTAGGGCCTCGGCGGTGGAAGCGGCGGGTAGTAATTACAGCATCCTCCACAATTGTAGGGCATTCCGCAGGGCTGCTGGTATTGAGGACACGCAATTTGGCAAATAATAAACAAGTGGGCCGGTACCACTAGTACTAAAAAGCACAATATGCCGGAACCGCGCATTTTCTATTACGGGAGCTTAGCTCGGGAATAATCTAACTAAATAATACTACTTTTTTTGTTAGTCCGAAGGGGTTATCGTAGTGTGAACTCTTCTATCTTCGAGGATTCCAAAATTGTTTCAAGGGTCGACGGACTTGGAAGCTGGTGTAGATAATTCTCAAGATAAATGTAGAAGAGATTTATATTCATGAAAGATCTCGCTGCGACTCTGTGATCCAGACGCGGCATAGTTTTCAATTACTTCCGTTATCATTAAGGAGTTGTATTAATATCGAGAATCAATAGATGTCGCCCTCGCGCAAATTCACAAGTGAAATTATATGGAAACTGCTCAGAGAGGGCGACGTGAACAGTGTCGTTCACCATATCACTACTAGAAGCCGCCACTGTTCGGTTTCGGGATTTCTAAAACAGTAGCTTAGGCCACCTCTTGGTGAAACTAGAAAATGACAAAAACATTGGCCCGTATGAATAAAAATAAGCAAATGCTTATACTTGCAAAATTCAAAGTAAATACTCATAACTGCCCCTTCATACTGGTCTGCTTAGCAGCGCTGCATTGCGTCCTGTCCTTCTGCTTAGAATCGCTGCTCAGTCGCCCAGTGCGAAGGAGCACTTACGAGTATTTACTTTGAATTTTGCAAGTATAAGCATTTGCTTATTTTTATTCATACGGGCCATTGTATTTATTTAAGCTTCAATTTCACTATAAACACCCGAAAATGCATGATTTAGATGCCTTATGTGTCAATGTGAGAATTACCTCACCTATCGCCGAATTATCAGTTGTTTCCCCTATTTTAAACAATTTTGCGCTTTAATTATTTAGTATAAATGTGGAAAGTGTAACCGGACGGGTAAATGTACACTGTTTTCTTTAGGAATCACTTACCTATTCAGTGTTTTAAAAATCTTGCAAAATTCGTAGACTACATTTACGTTTTTTCTATTAAATTTAAATTAAAAAAGTGGCCCAGGTGGGAAAACATCTCCTGTTTTAGATGAATCAAAATTTCCAGAGCGGTTTTTGATTTCATCCCCCACGTGAATTTGTGTATCAACTCGCTCAACAAAGGACAGTGGTTTGAGATCGCCGTGAAACCCACCACCAAAAAAATTGCCCCCAACCCCTTTCTCATACAGTGTAATTTACGTTTTTCGTTTCTCGAGCAAATTCAATAACGTAACCTTCACATATTTTTGCGTGGCCCACTTTTATAAATCTGTAGCAAATTTTGAGTGGTTAATGGTAAAGGGTGACACCGCGGGAGGTATACTCCACAGGGCTATAATATATAAGTTATACTGTTACCGGAGGCCCAAGATACTGGAAGTTATTATTTTTAATCGTCTTCTCTTTATTTTATACTTAGTGGGCGCAATTTTAGCTAATAGCTTTGTTTATTCAATTATTGGAAGGCGCTATTATGGCCACTTTTTCCGTCCGAGGTATACTAACAGTTGTCAAGATATTTAGTTCATTTTTTTGCATTCGGTAGCTAATAGCTCTAGCACCTCAACCAAGAAAAATCTTGGTGATTAATGTTTAGTAAAAATTACCAAAAAAGGTTTGCAAATAGTTTCTAGCAAAATTTAAAAAAAAATGGTATTTCCTACCATAGGCTTTCAATCGGCTTCTAAGGTTTTCGAGCTCAAAGAATGTGTCTCAAAAGAGCTTTAGTATAGGACTGTGCGAACTTAAAAAGAACATCAAAATTTTGAATATTTGAAGAGAAGATAATTTTTGTAGGTTCATAAAAGAAAATTTTAAGGGAATGCGTAATGTTCATCAACAAATTCTGAGAACATTCCTAAGACTTTTTTAAAAATAATGTCCGTGGTTGCGAAGAAAGTTTTCATAATATCTATTTAATAGGAAATACTTATTACAATAGATGTGGTTAATTTCCAAAAAGGATTTTTTATAGGATCTTCAAGGACTTTAAAGACGATTCCTTAAAAAAGATTTGGTTAGGGCTTTGTGTAAAGAAATAACTGGGAATATTTACAAAAACCTCCCTAACGAGATGTCTAAAACTGTGTACCTATAAGCAAATTCTGGAGTAGTTTTTCAAAAAGACTTCTAGAAACGGCCTTCGTTTTCAAGAAACCGTTATAAGAAGGATTTTACTTGTGTCTTCAGTGCAGTCTCGATAGCATCTGGTTGCCCTGCTTCAGCAGCCCCATGTTTTTTAGCTTCTGATGCGCTGCCTCGGGGGGTTTTTAGGTTATCCAGTATCATGTGCTTCTGGGGTAGTTTTTTTTTTGTTTTTTCTTGGTACGTATGAGTCCCACGAGTACGGTAGAAAGAAATGTTCACACGTGTACAAGGCGTGCTCCGAGGTTTAGGGGCTTTAGTCGCTGATTCAGCCACGCACCCCCTCATCTGACCCTTAGGATTTAGGTTATTTGCTGAGGTTGTCTCCTCTTGGTCCGGACGGTAAAGCCGAGACCCCCCGCACGATCCTGAGCTCTCCTAATTCGTCATGGTTGACGCACGTGGAACACATGTCGACACCGTTTAACTCCCTGCAATCCCTTGGCCGCGATACTACAGCCGGGCGGGGTAGCTGGTCTGCGATGTTGTCTCTGGTTGCTATCAGCTCTTGTTTCATAAGCGACGAGCATCCTTATCCCTAGCATTAACCAATGCGCCACTTACACCCATTCACTTAAGCCGTTCCCCTATCCGTCACCTGGTGACGCGTCTAGTAGGGTGCCACCCCTCAGGAAGATTTCCTTCACGAGCTTTAGGGCGACTTTTAAAATGGTACCTAAAGTTTGGGAAAAATTTTCTAGGCAGGATTTGATGAACATTTGGTACACCTTTTCAGGGCCATCTTAAGAATTAATCTTTCATATATTTTTAGGAGTAAATCTTTAAGAACGCTTTTAAGATGATCCCGAATGTTGGGGCGAGGTTCTCCCTTGCTGCATTTTCGTAAAAAGTTTAAAGACTGCTAGAATTTGGGAAGAGAAAGATTCTTATGAAGATTCCTAATCAGAATTCTAATAACAGTCTGGTGAGATTTCGAAAGAGTACGTTTGCACTCATGAAAACTTTGGCTATGGTAGTATAAGCAATCAAGGTTTGTATCCTATCTATATCAAAAAGTAATATACAGGGTGGAAATGTTGCCTAAAACTCTGAATATATCTTCAATAGGTTTTTTTTAAAGAAGATTTTTTATCGTATCGAAAATTATTAAAGTTTCCTACCAATCTACGTACTTTAAATTTGTGGTCAGTGGCGTACTTCTGCATGGTCAACGGGGGCATACTTTCTTTAATGGTAACTACTAGTTTTCGGTACAGATTATTAAAGGGCACCTTTTTTAGGGAACTTTTACTTTCAAAACATTAAAAGTGAACTTTTGCGCTCTTGGTGTCTGTCTGTTTGTCACAAAGGCTCCGGAACTATATAGATTTACTTATACATTTTAAATGATTTGCGATACAATAAATTGCTTTGATATAACTAACAAAAGAATAACGATTTTTTTAACGCAAAGTAGTGAAATTATAAAATTAACACAACTCTTCTACTAAATTTGATTATGTAACATGATAAGTTTTTTTATGTTGGATTATCCAAAAAAGTGTACTCTTTAAGAACATGTAACTAAGACTAGTAATTGTCATTCAAAAAATATACCCCCTCCTTTACCTTGCAAAAGCACCCCACTGACCACAAATTTAAAGTACGTAGATTGGTAGCAAACTTTTTATAATTTTAGACACTATAACAAACCAAAAATACTTTACGTGGTGCTTTTTGAAGTCAATGTAGGTAATAATTTTTGAATAAAGTGGAAGAACATTTGCCTTGCGGACGGTTTTTGCTTTGAGATATTGACCAAAATGCAACAGTTCTTCTCAAGCGTGGTCGCATTTCGTTAAGAAGCTCCATTTTTAAGAAAGAAAAACAACAAATGTGGTCTTCAGGTTTCCACATGTAAAGCAATATCAGCATTGACTTCCTTTTCTGATTCTGGTGTCTTAGATTGTTTCTGATTGGTCGTCTATTTTGTCAGATAATCTAATGAAGAGTGATGTGAATGCCAGTTGAACCGTTCAACTCGACTTGTTGTTCGGCGTGCAAGGTTATTGACAAATTCCTTGAACTCTGACCGGCGCCAAAACTGATATGGTACAGTGAGCTGCATATGTTTACCACTGGATAATTTGTCTTATTATTAATTAGAGAGGGTTAACCTGAGGTGATTCGTGGAGTCTAAAAAAAAAAAAGTTGAATAGGAGGAATTTAGACTGTAATTTAAATATGCACGTGCAAAGTTAACCTTCGATCCTTGTTGCTGCTCGGAAAGCTAATTTTATCTGGGTCTTTGTCGAAACCGCCATAAAGATTGTCCAAATTGTTGAACCTGGAAGTTTTATCTAACTAGGCTACGTTCATTTCCTCACATTAGAAACGAAAGATAAATTTATTTGAACGTTGCATAATTTCGACTGGTGCTAGCCGGTTTTGAGACCAGTACCGCACGTTTTGGACGGTATTAAAAAAACACTTTTTTGGCCACTTATTTATTATGGAATAAATACTGCGTTAAATTACAAGACTGTTGCTACTGTAGTCGGTCAAGGCCTAAAAGATGAAGATTTGTGGTTGAGGTTGAGTTTTCCTCACCTTCTTAATATTGTGGTTGCGGCGTTGGTTGTTGCTGTGGCTGCTGTTGTGGCGCTTGCTGTTGCTGCTGGTTGGTTTGAGCTCCACAGCCTCTGTTGTATCCCGCGTAACATCCGTTGTTAAATCCGATTGGGTTGTTGTAGATTTGACCATTAGGCGACCATTCACAACATCCCGGATAACCCTGGCAGTACGGGTTGCACACCTGGCCCTGGTAATAATTCTGTTGTTGCTGCTGGGGTTGCACGAACTGTTGGTAGTATTGCTGCTGTTGCTGTAGGAATGGGTTTTGCATGTATTGCTGCAGGTACGGCTGATACTGGTTGTAGTAACAATTTTCTGGACACATTTGTGTTACCATTTGTTGTCCACCGCAGCAGTTGGATTGCGCATAGATAGGAACGCACACGGCGTTACCTACGAGAAGCAAACACAAAACACCAACGCGCAACATTGTCGAGCAAAGTCGTAATGATAATAAGAACCGTGCATAGATTTGACTGTTAATTTGTACAAATTTCGGTCATTTTTAGGTTATCACGTAATGAACTTAAGGCCTGGTTACGCAATGACCACTACGTTACTATTTGAATTAGCGTTTGTAAAATTGTTCTATCTATTTCTAATTACATTTGATGTTCAAATACGATTTTGAAAATATTTTTAAATTCCTGATAACCTTCTAGAGAGTGATAAGAATCATTCAACACTGCAACCGTATTTGACACACTTTGTGAAGCAAACTAGGGCGAAAATGTCGCATCTTTGGGTGCTGTGCTTGTTACTAACGGGAGTTTGTGCATTCACTTACGATGTTCAACAAAAGTTAAACAGTTGCATTAACAACTGCTTACAGTCGCTACCAACTCAGGATTGCGGTACCTGCGTACAACCTCCACCATCACCTCCACCACCACCAGGATGTTACTGCCCTAACTCGCAACCTACCGGATGGTGCTGCGTACCGCCGCCCCTGAACCCCGGCTGGATTCCGCGCCCCGGTATACAACCACCATTCCTTTGGCCAGGAATACCGAACCAGCCGCCACCGGTCGAACCAGAACAGCCCGAGCTCGAGCCAAATCAGTCTACCGAAACTCCGGTGACGCCCAGCATCCAGCAACCGCCGCCGATCAGACCCTGGATTCCGAACTACCCAATTCCCAACTATCCTCCAGTCTACCCCAATCCGAACTTCCCACCTTATCCATACAACCCACATCTACCGGAGACAAATCGTCCCATTCCAAATTTCCCAACTTGGCCCAACAATCCCGGACCTGGTTTTCCCCCTCAGCAGTGCTGCTCAAATTCCCAGGCGATACAAGGGTGCGTCATCTGTTTTCCGTACAGACCGCCGCCGCTATCGCCGGTCGGTTGCAACCCTCTCTGTTTCGGCAACGTGCAGTGTTGCAACAGTTGGGATGGTACAATCAGAAGGGAAGCGAAAACGGCCGGTAATGAATAGATGCCGTAGTTTAATTTTTTAGCCTAGTTAATGCTTAAATTACTCAAATAAATATTACTATAGAGGAAATGATATTTATGTTCCCCAATGCGATTCGAATTCTACCCCATTTTGCTATCTAAGTTCAGAAGATGGAGGAAATCCTTTCGGAAGACCTTCGTAGCCACCACGTTAACGCATCTAAAATTAAACAAAAATTCGGACGTTGATAACAATTAGGCAATGAGCCACGAGTCGAAATTATGTCTTAACGTCGATAAAGCTATCGGTTTCGAATATTGATTTAATTATCTTCGAATGACCTCATTAAGTTTAGTAAATCAACACTAATTACAAAGGTATCAAAGTTGCAAACGGGAAATTAATGAGTATTTTATTTCCTGAATGTATGACAATTATTTGTGTACACTATTAATCATAATCCGAAGATAAAACGATGGGGTGCGCTCCATTCGCAATCATTCAAGATTTTGCAGTTAGCGCAAAATGTTTCCTGAAAAGGTTCTCGTCTGTACGGTTTTAGTCGTTATTGCTACAGTGAGTGCTGAAAGGCATTATGTTGTAAACAAGGGGTGCAATACGTGTACGAAAAGGGGTCCGCCTTCTTGCAGACAGTGGTGCATAATCACAGTGAACGTGGGTTGTTGTTTGCAGCGTCGATATGTTTGCTGTAGCTACAGAGGTACGTACAAATTAATATATTTTGTGACATCCCCATTAACTTTTGCGTTTTAGAAAAGCTGGGAGTTTGTCCCGTAGCCCAGCCGTCCTGCCCCAAGCCGTACCCTTACCATGCAACTAGGGTGTTCGAGTGCCACCACGACTTCCATTGCCCTCTAGGTTACAAGTGCTGCTCGGACTGTTGTTTTACGCACAAAATTTGCAAGCAGATGCATTCGGCCACACCAACTTCAGCCCCATGGCCCAAACCTTCAGTTTTCACAAAACCGACAACCAGCACAACGAACTCGACGACTACAACCACCACCACCACCACCATCACGCCACCGACAACAACCCTGTCCACAACCACGCAATTTATTATCGAAGTACCCGAAGTCGAGGACGAAACAGTGACTGTAACTCAAGACAGACAGCCAACGACGCTTCCAAATCCGACCGTTGAAGAAGGTAGCGGGTACGGCATCAACGACTTGGAAGAACCACACGCCGCTTTGGTTCAAGGATTCTTGGACGATGAAGACTTTCTGCACTAACAATTTGACACCTAAGGCATTGGGACCGGTGCGTTTTTTCTCGAAGACTGAATAAGTTAATTGTACAGATTAAAGAACCTTCAATACTAAACTTGCTTACTTTAATAAACTAAACCCATGCTTTCCAAAAGTTGGACATCGACAAATTGCATGCGCTCTTAATCACGCCATCAGAGAAAGCAATTAACTTTCTTCAGAAGAGAAATTTGTTACGTATGTCAATTTCGCACAGCCTTTTGCGTTTATGATTCTGACACAAGTAAAGCTCATTTTAGGTGATTCAATTTTAGTGACACTATGACTCCGTTGACTTAAATTTCAAAAAGTATTTCAAAATCGACAGTACTTACTTGCGTACTGACTGCGTAATAGTTATTTACATAAAAGTCCGGAAAATGATACATTACTGGCGATGAAATATTGAATTTGACTTTAATTTACGAGTCAGGTAATGTCATTTTACTGACGAGTTTTATATTAAATTTTACCCGAAATCGTATTTTAATATAAAATTTCAATTTTCATATAGAACTTTTTGTTAATGTCAATCTGTCAGTGATGACAGGAGCCATTATAGACATTTGGAAATGTCAAAAATGCGGCCTGTAAAGTGACGGTGCGGCCGGTAAAGTGACAAGTGCGGCCAGTAAAGTGACGAGCGGCAGGAAACGTAGTCTTCTCTGCCTCTGTCATGGAAACTAAAATTTCCTGACAGAAAGTAGGCATGAAAATGAAGGTTTCAGGACGATTTTGGGTAAAAATGATTTAAATTTTGATCGAGCGAATGGTGAACTTTAATATCTTCAAAAAGTTGATTTTTTCAAATAAAACATGCGGTATTTTTTTGCACTTAATGTCGAACAAATTCTTCATCGATCAATTTATTACATTCCCTATACTTACCCATCTTCGGTTTTATTTCAGATTTTATAAAATTGTGACTGTTATGCTTAAGGTCTTGAAATAATGCGAAAAAATGCAGGGTGTTCTATTTAAAATAAGAAAGTTGCGATTGCTCAGAAAAAATAAATGTTGCTTGATGCGTTGATGTGTAGGAAATATTTAATTAAAAAAAGTACCGACCCAATTTAGTACATCAGTAGTGGCCTTTGGAAGGGTGCAACTTTTGGAAAGCCCCAAATATTTTTGGGTCTTTGATTGATGTTTAAAGGGCTCACCAAAATTACCCTCTCGCCGTTTTGGTATTTACGTTTTTTTTTCAGAAATATCGACCTTATTTAGTACAGTCATGCCATTTGGAGGGATGTGGCGGTGTAGTACATACGAAGCGCCAAATATTTTTGTTTCTTCAACTGATTGTGTTTATAGGGCTCACGCATCAACCCTACAGATGCGCATGCAGATGTACATCCTCTCCGTTTTGATATTACGTATTTTTTTAAACGAAAAATCAATCTTATTTACAGTTGGAGGGGTGCAACTTTTTCGAAGACCCAAATATTTTTGCCATGTCCTTTGTACGAGTGTAAATTTTGTGAAGCGCCAAATATTTCTGTTTTTTTGAATAATTGTGTTTAAATAGGGTTCACGATCAACCCTATAAATGCGCATGCGGATATACACCCTTTCCGTTTTGGTACTTTGTATTTTTTTAAGGAAAAATCGACCTTTATTGGTACAGTCCGTGTGTCCTTTAGAGGGGAACAACACTTACATATTTTTGTTTCTTGGCCTGATTATGTTTAAAAAGCTCACCATCAATCCTATAAATGCACATCCGAAATTACACTTTCACGGTTTTGATTTTATTTAATTTTTTTCAGAAAAATCGACCTTATTTAGTTACAGTTATGCCATTTGGAGGGGCGTAACTTTTACTAAGCGCCAAATATTTCTTGTTTCTTTGACTGATTCTGTTTAAAGAGCTTATGACCAACCTATAAATGCACAACCAAAGTAACACCCTCGTCGTTTAGACATTAACGGGGGGGGGGGGGATATTTTGTTTCTTGGCCTCATTATGTTTAAAGTGCTCACGGTCAACCCTAAAAATTGTACATCCAGAATTACACCCTCGCCGTTTAGATGTTTACGTGGTTTTTAAGGAAAAATTTATCTTATTTAGTTTTACCATCTTTAGAGGGGCGTAAATTTTGTGAAGTGCGTAATATTTTTTGTTTCTTTGATTGATTGTGTTTAAAGGGCTCAGGATCAACCTATAAATGCAGATCCAAAATTACACCCCCTTTGTTTTAGTAGTACGTATTTTTTTAAGGCAAAATCAATCTAATTTAGTACAGTCGCATCCTTTGGAGGGGTGCAACTTTTGTATTTTTGTTTCTTCGAATGAATATGTTCTTACTATCAACCCTATAAATGCACATCCAAAATTACTCCCTCGCCTTCGTTTATTAAGTTATCGAAAATAATTATTACAGATGGTTGTTGCATAATCTACAATTTTCAAAATATGTATACGGGCCGAGTAAGAAAGTTGCACCTAACCTCATTTTTTTAAACGGAAACCCTGTATATTTAAATCTAAGCAGACAGTATATACTAAATGCTTTATTCAGAACTATAGTATATCAGAGCTGATATTAAAAAAAGATTCAAAAAAATTCAGTAAGATTAAAAAGGGTTTTTAAAGATTAAAAAGGTAAAAAAATATAAAAAATTCACACAATTTTTTTACTTCTTTTAAAAACTTCCTTTTAATCTTTTTGAATTGAATACATTTAAAAATTTTAATTGTAAATCATTACAAAGAAACTTTTGCATTGAACACAGAAAAAGAAGATTTAGGCTTTCATGTAGAAATCGAAAAATGCAACTTTTGCCCAAAAGACCAGTTTTGTTTTCTCGAGTTTCTCAAAATGCTTTCAAAAATGTATAATGATCAAAAGGAAGTGTTTAAAAAAAAAGTACGAGCTATATGCAACAGTGGTAGTGTTTGGTTGTTTAACTGCTGTGAATGATTTTCATTTGCAACAGTGACGCGAATCAACGGTATTCGATGTCTCACCAGAGAGTGACTGATTTGGTCTTTTATCTTTCGAAAAGAAAAAGACTGGAACCTTGGATTTTCAAATATTTCTGCAAAAATGGAACAAAAGGATAGATAGAACCTGGGATTTTTAAATATTTCTTCAAAAATTGAACAAAAAGATAGAAAGCTTAAACTATGTTAAGTGGCGACATCAAAAAATAATTTTAACAAACCATTAGTACCTAATTTCTTAAGCTAAGAAGCTAAAAATTACAAAACTACTTGGTAATCAACCTTGAAGTTTACAATGTATGGCAATAATTCAATAGCTGGCTTGAAATTATTTTACATTTTTCGTTTATTGTCTCGCATAGTCACCATCGATGGAGTTATTGCCATAAGAACGATATTGTAAACTTCAAAAATCAAGGTTGTGTTTAGTATCACTAGTTTTGCAATTTTTTTCTCTATGGATTGATATAAAAATACAATGTGGCGTCTATAAAAAATAAGAAAGTGGTTTGTGTGATTTAGTGAACAGTCGAAACCCATAATCACAAAAATTTTATTTTAGCACCATCGGAAGACAAAAAATCACTAAAGAGTTTGTTGAAATTATTTTTTGAAAATAAATGAACGACAACGATGAAATAACGGATAGGTACACTAGTCGAAATCTAATCCTATAGTGGACGTGTGAGGGTGATGACTAGGGTTAGGATTTTAATGACGTTAAAAATCAGCGAAAATGCAAAATAAAACGTGCAATTATGTCTTAAAAATCTCGCAAAAATGACATAAAAATTTAAAAAGATGAATTTTTAAATAACAAATAAATTTATTGATGAAACTGAATAAGACCGCAAAATTTTTTTAAGAAGCATTTAGGTAAGATAAGACAGGAATAGAAAGCAGGTATGTAGGTTACTGACTCACCATATCCCAAAGAAATTTAATCCCTTAGTGGGCATTCGTTCCAAGAAAAGAGGAACTATATATTTAGCTTATAATGGAGGTTTTAGGCTTTTTATTTTGCAAAATGCCGGTTTTCGCAGTTTGCCGGTAACATATATAATATAACAGATTATAGTTAGTTAGTTAGTGAGACCCAAATTAGAATATTGCGATATAGTTTGGTACCCGCAGTACGATGTGCAAAAAAAACTTATTGAACAAGTACAACGCAGATTCTTGAAGACGTTTCTTTTAAGCTTGATGGTGCGTATCCTGAAAGAGGCTTTCCACACCAATCTCTCCTATCCAGGTATACTGTCCAGTCGATGGAATGCCGCCGAATTGTGAACAGTGTTAAGTTTTTATTTGGCTTATTGCACAATCTTGTAGACTCTCCTAATCTCCTTGCACACCTAAACTTTTCTGTTCCTCAGCGCAACAGCACGCTTACACTAACTTTCACTTACCGCACTCCGAGAACTAATATATTGTGTAAAGCCCCTACATTAATCATGTCTCGCAATTTTAATATGGTCTGCCAGGATTGTGAAATACAATATACCTCTCTACCGGAAATACTTCGCCAACTCATTACTAAGCTCAATAATTCTCTAAGATAATTATTACATATTATTTTTATTTTTCATTTTATTTTATTTTTTTTTTCTTTCATTATTCCTATTACTTATATTTCTTGTATAACTCTTGTATATCTCTGTTGTTCATTTGCACGTTTTAATATAATTTATATATATTTTTGGTTTATGTTGCGCAATTTAATCGAATAATCTTTGAATGCATTTTTACAAATTTTGTATGTTTATAATATTAATTTACTTAAGTATACTATTTTAGTTACGTAATTTTAATTTCACTCTTGTAATTGTATTGTTGCTCTATTATTGGAATGTTTTCTGTTTGAGCAATAAAGTATTATTATTATTATGTGTCAGAGCTTCAGAAAAAAAGATACAAAATCCTAGCCCTAGTGATACAGGTTCATCTTATAGGTTGATCATGGTCTGTTGAGAATGAAACCGAGCCATCTTTGGGGAGTTTCCCCTATACTTTAAGCTTAAGGGAAACCATTATATGCGCTATAACTCCCTCACTAACCCCCTCAACCTTTTTGTACTAGGGCCACAATTCATAAAATCTAAAATAGTTGATTGGGCGACATAGAATCCCTCACGAAATTTAGAATGTTATATTTTGACTATCTGGTCCATGCCTTTTCTTACGTTTCTCTTAAATGATGATTTCTATATTAATGAGCAAAAATTACATTTCTCAGACTTTCAGGAAATCGCATCGAACTGAATTATATCCATTAAAATCCTTGATGAGATATGACGACTCTAGGGGATGGGGGACAATATTTCTGTTAAATAGCCTCATTTATATTCACTTCAAGAGGTATTTTGGAACCAAAACAAATGTTTTTATGACCAATTTTACCTAAATGGTCCAAAATTTCAGTTACCATCTATTGCGCCGCAGCTAAAAGGTAAAAATATATTCGAAAGTTAATAAAATCACGTTGCGAATGGCTCGTGCACGTGTCGGTCATTTAGTCTGCTAATTATTTTAATTAATCAATCGGAAGTTACTTGCAAGTTTTATTATTTTACCTTGCACGAGGCTGAAGTAAAATCAGTAGCCCCCTTGTACACTCGACAGCTGAATATTTCAACTCATCAGCAAATATTAGTCTAAGGCGCCGAAATGGAATTGGAGCGTTCCGAAGAGGACCCCGATATCATATTAAGGTACTGAGACCCACCTCGGAGCATTACAGATAAGATTACGAGACAATAATTTGGTTATCTTTGTAGGTCTAGGTCTTCTTCGAGTTTTCATGTTTACGTTATAAAATAAATACGGATAGTGGAAGTTCAGCATTTCCCCCTAAAGCTTAGTCATAATATGTCTGAGCAAAATTCGCGTACTCGGCGATATATTTATATTACTTTATCGACTTCCTGTTAATTTCATACCGAATACCTGAGTCAGAATGCAAATAAAAGCATGCTTTCATCGTCAATTTTTTGTACGTTTTGTGTAGTGTGACCGAAGAGATGTTTCCAGTGTGGTCTGTGGTGTTCGGCTTGGCTAGTTTGGTTTTGTGTGCCTGTTCGGGCGAGTTGGGTAAGTTTCTTTCTAATTTTTATGTCGGGGCTGATCTCTCGCACTTCCTAGAATATCCGGAAGTGAGATATTGCCCCGTTGTCAATCCTTGTCAGGCTCCGCTGTTGTACGATGTGAAACACAGATGTGGAATCGACGAGGCGTGTCCGCAAGGGTACAAGTGCTGTAAAAACGGCTGCTACATCCACAAAGTGTGTGTCGTACCCGTAAACAAAAATGGAGATCAGATACCACCCCCAACTCACGCCGTAACAGACCCCAGCGACGAGCAGGAAAATGAAATCAAGGAATGGCCCAAATTGTCGACGCAATTTACCGACAAAGAAACCGGCTCCACGTCAATCACGAACTTTTCTCACGGTGTAGGAATTACCAATGAATCCGGACAGTCTACCACAATTACGAGTGATACAACCGCAAGCACTCATTTTGATAACGCAACTGAAGGTGCTACTGAGAGCTTGACAACTTCAAGTTATACAACCATGGGTCCTAACGAACAAGATTCCACCCCCACAGAGGTTCAAGGAACATTTTCTGAACATTCGATCGGTTTCACCAATCCCACCAATGCGACTGTAGCTCAAGGTTTGGGGAATGAAAGCACAACTAGCGAACAGGATTCGAATACGATAATCGTTCAAGGAACCGTCCCTTCTTCAACAATCGGCGATGATTACACCAGCTTTTCTACTCTTTCCAATCTCATCGAGGAGACATCGCAACAAACTGGAGTGCAGCGCGCTGGAGATGAACTCACCAGTGGTGAGCAAGATTTCACCTCAACAAACGTTCCCGAAATCTCTTCTTCTTCGAAGATCGAAGATGATTACACCAGCTTTTCTACTCTTTCCAATCTCATCGAGGAGAGAACGCAAGAAACTGGAGTGCAGGGCGCTGGAGATGAACTCACCAGTGGTAAGCAAGATTTCACATCAACAAACGTTCCAGAAATCTCTTCTTCTTCGAAGTTCGAAGGTGATTACACCAGATTTTCTACTCTTCCCAATCTTCTCAAGGCGAAATTGCAATATAATGGAATTGAGAGCGCTGAAAACGAGCTCACAAGTGGTCAACAAGATTTCACCTCAACAAACGCTGAAGCGATCGCTGGATTTTCTACGCTAGCCAAGACGACTTCGAAGCAAATTCTAGTGGAAGATTCCGGAAATGAATTAACCAGTGGCGAAACCTCAACAAACGGTCCCTCTACAACCATCGGCGAGGATTACACCCAAACTTCCATCTTTGATAATCTAATCAAGGCGATATCGCGGCATATCGGCTGGGAAGGTTCTGGTGACGGTTTCACCAGTGACGATGAAGATGACTTAGTGGATGGTAGTGGTGAGGGTAGCGGTATTACCGAGTATGTCTCTCAGTCCACCACTGACGCCCCGCACACCCCACAAACGGAATTCATCGACCTTGATGGTGGTACTAGTAGTTTTAGTTTTGAAGAGGTCTCCAATAACCCATCAACTTGGGAAGGTTCGGGTGCGGATGCCACACATTTTTCCACATTTACCGATGACGAAGATGTTGGCGAAGGCAGCGAAATTCAATCACCGCTCACTACAGATGATGATGTGCACTTTCCGGATGTGGTGACAGAAATCGGCACAACCATTTGGAACGGCAGTGTCGAGGATACTTACGAAGAAATTACGAATTCATCGATCGGAGTAACCACCACCATCAATTCACGGTCTGAAAGTACTGGTACATCGGATGATGATATACGTTTTCCAGATGAAACGGATTCACCAACCAGACCTTCGCCCGATGGAAGCTCTGACGGATCTGTGGAACAGACGAAACCACCGTCAGAAAATGACGACATCACATTTCCACACGAAAGTACTCCAACAGAAAATAATCACGTGAAATTCCTAACGTCTAAAGGAAGGGAATTGGAAGGCTCAGGTGATGACTCCAACGATACTGAAAGTGACGAGGACGACGACGAAGGAGAGGAAACTACTTTGCCGACGTTTGTGACCACCAGTTCGACAAACTTGACCGTGAAAGCTCTCCCCTCGCACACCTTCGCCGTAGGTCCGCACGATAATGTAACGTACGAAGAGGACGATGACGACGAAGATGACGATGGTGTAGACGAGGATATACGAAATAACTTTCAAGGTAAAACAGTGAGGGGTTGATTGTTAGTAGACTCTTGTTTTGTTACTGAAATTATTAGATTCGCCTCTAATTTTTGTAGTCATACGGATTGTTTTACAGAAGCAAGACGTATTTATTATACTATGGTGGCAACCACCACGTCTGTAAATAAATATTTTTGTCCTTCATTTGCCTAAATCTAAAAATTAAATGATCTCTGTACACTTTTTTTATTTTGCGGGACATAAATTTCACAGTACTAACTTGCAGTTTTGCGTTGGTAAAGAACAAGCTCTTTGTGCTTATGGTTCACCATGAAACTAGTGCACTATTTCTTTTGTGGCCTTTTTTTAATTAATGACCGGTAATTCAATTAATTTCTTCTGGATTTTTCTCTTGGTGGGTATAAGACGAGTTAACCAAGATACCAAACAAGGTGGCTGTACCTTCTTCGGCCGTGCTAAATTTCTTAAACTTCTGCCAAAAATTGTCTAACTCCTTCACTTGGGAGAAATTCTGTACCTCCTCCCTCGGTTGCTAAGTGTTTTAAAACAGTTTGATTCATTACGGTACAGCAGGGAAATAATTTCCCCATTTTAGCCTGCACGAGGGAATCCAATACTCCAATTTCTTCCATCTCTTCTCCCTTGGTTCTTGCGAGACGTTCTCTACCTCTTTCCCCCTTTACTAAATTTTTATTTTTTTTGATTAAGGGAGCGTGGGAAATATGTCACGAAACTTCTCCATTCTGGCTTACAAGTGAAAAATGTACGCTCCTCTTTTTTCGGTCTTCCTGTCTATCAAAAAGGATCCTCACCTTCCCTTACTTGCGTGAAATTTTGCACCCTACTTTGGTAGTTTGAAAAAATAACTTAGTTTGGACCCATAAAGGGAATACTTTCTCCCACTCCGGCCTACTCTCGGGCCTACTGATGTAAATAAATTCTGGACCTCCTTTCTACGATTCATCGGTACATCAAATTTCCTCACCCTTCTCCCTTGGGGGAAATTAAAGTACCTCCTCTCCCCTTTTGCTTTTACACCCGCCTTTCTTAGTTTCCTTGGTCTACCAAAAAAATGCACCTCCTTTCCCTTTGGTGGGCTTTTATAAACCTAGTTTGGCGCATTAAAGGGGAGCGGGGAGAGATTTCTTTGTTCTGGATTACAGATAAACATCTAGACACCCTTTTTTTGGTCCTACGCTGTGTGGGGGAAATTTTAGATGTTCTCCAATTGCTAGTTCTTTAAAAACCTAGCTTGATCCCATAAAAGAGAGCGGAGAAATATTTTAGAATAATTTCCCTCCTTTACCTTACTTGCCTTTCTTCGGTTCATCGCTTAATTATCAAATTTCTTGACCCTCTGTTATTTGGGGCAGATTGTATACCTCATTTTGAGAACGCGGAATTATTTCAAAACATGTCTCCACTCCGGTTTACTAGTGGGAATCCTATATTCTATTTCTTTGATTCTTTAATCTGTCCTCCTGTCCTGTCTCCACTTCGGTTTACTGTTCTGTATCTCTCTTTCTTCGGTTTTTCAGAAAAATATCGCCACCCTTACTTCGTTGGTAAAGATTCTGAACCTCCTGTCAACTTTTCCGGGTTTTTAAGAACCCACTAATGTGCGTTAAGGAAGATCAGCGAAATAACTCAAAAGATTTCTGCACTCGGGCGTAAATTGTATACTCCCCTACTTCGCGGAGGGCATTCTGTACTTACCCTATGCCACCATTCTATACCACTGAATTCTGGATCTTCCAAAAAAATCCGCGACCCTAACTTGCCGGAAGTTCTGTACCCTCCCCCTGCTTTGATTGGGATTTAAAAGCCTAATTTGTGTCTTTAGGGGAGAACGGAGAAACATTGAAATATTTCTCTACTTTGGCTTACTGATGCAAATGTTATGCCCCCCCCCCCCTTCCTGATTTGAGAGAAGTTCTGTTCCTCCTCCCTTTACTTCGGAGCCATGTTCTTGTTCATAAAGGAACAAGGTCGAATTTTTCAAAAATTCGCCTTTTTTGTCTGCAGAATTATATACCCTCTCCCTCAGGTGCTAGATTTCGTGCAACATCCAGCCTTGTCTTAGTTGGTTCTTATGCTTTCTAGGATTAATATTGGACTAAGAGATGCCAACTCTTCGAAAAAGGATTTCTATCTTACGCATTCTCTTTTTATATACCTGTCAACTTTCCTAATTATAATAACACGAACGGAATAAAAGTCAAATTTTTCGAAGCAGAACATTGCTGTATTTCTTAGGTACCTGTTATTTAAGCAAAGGTTGTAGCTTATATACTGAGAAGCTTATAAAGAATACTGTTAGCATGAAAGTGAAGATAGGCTTCATCTTTGAGGTGATGAAGAAACGTTTGAGTTAGTCGTGGTTTCCAAAGGCGTTACGGTTTCAGGTGTTGTATCAACACTCTGGGTGACCGTTTCCATTGTACTGTTCACCGCCAGGGAACTGTTGGTACTTTCAGCGGAGCAAGTGAAACTGGTGCAGAGGTAGCCAGTTTTATCACTTTTACAGTAGCATGTGTTACAGTCCAATTTGAACGAGTCATTGAGGGCGCATGGTGTGTTGATCAGGTCGCTCGCAATCGTTGTATCTGCAAGCAAAAAAATGAAATAGTTTCTTGAACGGAATCACGAATCAGTTTTCCGTTTACATGAGTTAAGGGACAACAGTAACTTTCTTCCTACAAGTGGAATGAAAAAGAGGTCGTACAAAGGGCCAGATTTTGGGTATTACCTCTTCTTAAGCGAACCAGTTCGTTCCGCGGGCGAAGGGTTTCGTTGCATTGGTGGCGAATGCATGTCCAAAATGTTCTTCCTCCGGAAAATCCACATCTGCATTCTTGGCAGGGCGTTCTTCTAATCGTGCCCAATTTACAAGGGAGCTCCTTATCTAAAAAGATCAGAGAGGCATGGTTATTCCACTATTGAAGGAGGATTTTTATTTCAGTGTGAAGTGAGCGAACACGAAAAGGCTAGTACGAATCTGGTATAATTATTTGTTTGAAAAATAGTTAATTGAGACTTTCTTTGTTCAGGTAAATGGTTAAGTGCCAGAAACAATGAAGAAATTCATGCAAGTGGATGGATATGTTAGTGAGAGATTTATGTTTTTAATTTTTTGAATGCAAGTTAATTGAGTGTAAATTAATTCGTATTTTTCTCTCTAGGTAAATGTTGTAGTGTCAAAATCAATGGAGAAATTCGTGCAAGTGGACGGGAAAGCTAGTGGGAGACTTGTGTTTTTAATTTTTTGTAAATTAATTCGTCTTTCTCTCTCTAGGTAAATGGTGTTGTGTCAAAATCAATGGAGAAATTGGTGCAAGTGGACGGGAATGTCAGTAGGAGACTTGTGTTTTTAATTTCTTGAAAACTATTTAACTGAGTGTAAATTAATTCGTCTTTCTCTCTCTAGGTAAATGGTGTAGTGTCAAAATCAATGGAGAAATTCGTAGAAGTGGACGGGAATGTTAGTGGGAGACTTGTGTTTTCAATTTTTTGAAAACTATTCTACTGAGTGTAAATTAATTCGTCTTTCTCTCTCTAGGTAAATGGTGTTGTGTTAAACTCGATGGAGAAATTTGTGCAAATGGACGGGAATGTTAGTGAGAGATTTGTGTTTATAATTTTTTGAATATAGGTCAATTGAGTGTAAATTAATGCGTCTTTCTCTCTCTAGATAAATGTTGTAGTGTCAAAATCAATGGAGAAATTCGTGCAAGTGGACGGGAATGTTAGTGAGAGAGAGAGAGAGAATTGTGTATAAATTAATGCGCCTTTCTCTCTATCTAGGTAAATGGTGTTCTGGTTTTAATTCTAGAATTGGTCTTTGTATGGGTTATTTAAAAAAAATCAATTTTTGAAATGTAGAGGTTTGGTAATTAATTAAAGTAATTTCCAAGTAACGGGGATAGTATTGGTGTATAGGTACTACGCATGTAGTCGCATGGAAAGTGTCATTGGAGGTATTTATGGCGTACTTCCTTCTCTCCTTGAGCACGAGTCGTAACACACCCACTTGCTCAGTGAATCAGCGCTGTCACTGATACATGTACAGCTACGGCACCGGTCTCTTTTGGTCTCACCTTCTCCACACTCTCCCTTTTCTGGTAACAATTAGTTATCAAACTAGAAATGTCAGCTTTACATACCTCTCTTTGGAACCTCAACTTTCTGAGTACAAGAGCTCTGTAAACACGCCCAATCCGTTCCACCCTCTCCATCGACAGCTATGCACCTACAGTTGTGACATTCCCCAATTTTGTGGTCGCCCAATGGACATTTCTCTGAACCTAGAAATATTCGCTATCACTTTCTTCATTATTTGCTTTAGGGTAGCGACCTCTTTTAAAACGATTATGGTAATAATGACCACAGTCCTTCTGGGTGCAGTACCAATCGACGATTCCATCTTGTAAAACCAAACACTCGCATAGTTCACACTCTCCTTGCTTAGTCTCGCCTATTCTACAAGATTCATCTAGAAAAATATGCGCTTCAGCACCCAAATTTCGTACGTCTTCATTTTAACGTAAACAACTAACTGACAAAAAATGTCACGAGTTCATCATTGATAACTACTTATCGTACAGTGGGGCACTGCCCCACCAGAAACTACGTGTGCATCTTTTACGTATGATCCACACGTAATTTACAACGTTTCGATCACACTTACCAGCAAATACAACCCCAAACAACAACCCCAAGCACAGTATAGAAACAGACTTCATAACTGCTATCGTTAAACTATTAACGTTGCGCGTATATAATCCGACGGTAGTGGGCCGGCTGGTAGAGGGGATTTTCTTTAATGTAATTACTATATGCGATCAAATCGTTAATCATTTGAATTAGCTTTAATTGATTACATTTACCAGTACTCTACCTGCGTCATCTACGTCTTTGATCACGTGATATTGTGACGTCTGTTGCCTCCATTTCCATAATAGAAATTTTTGGGATGCTCGCGCCGAATTTGAAGTTTGCTAACAAAATTTCATATATCAAGTTTCCGAACACGCAAGGGGTTTGGCATTTTTTCAAACTTTGGGGAGTTGCGACCCCACGGACCTGAGCACATGGAGTGAGTTAGACCTTTGGTGTCTTTAAATTTAATTGCCAACTTTGCCATTTAATGAAACTGAACATTCGAAATCACTTAACCTCAAAGCTCCACTGTGAAGAACTAAGAAATCCTGATCTCAAATTTATAGCTCCCAGTTTTAAATTTGCAGCTTCAAAATTCGACAAATACAGAGCTGTGCACTTAAATGGTAGGTATAAGATACAAATGAGAAAATATAAAACTTTATTGTGATGCGATGAAGGTGAGGGTGTAATAAATAGTTGTTATGGTAATGGGCGAATTCTTCAAAACTTCATGGATTGTCTTCATGGAAAACATAAGTCGTAACAAGTCCACATGGTTCGTGTCTTTGTTTCATTATTGATGCATTTACAGGTACGGCACTTCTCCGTTTTCGTTTCGCCTTCACTACACTCTCCGTTAGCTGTATCAGTTGGGGAGCTTCTCTTCGAACGTTCATCAAAATGACAATCTGCTTGCGTGCAAAACCAGTCGGTGATTCCATTTTGGAAGGTCATGCATTCGCATAACGCACAGTTTTCATGCTTGGTTTCGCCTATTTTGCACGTAGTGGCTAGAAGCAAAGCACCATTAATAATATGTTCCTATTTTAGGAGCTTTTTTGAGATAATGGGCGCAAATTTCAATCATTAACTGTGCAAGAGGGTGGAAAGTGCAAATAAAATCTACGCTTGGTAAAAGTTGGAGTATCTACCTTTCCTTAAGAGCTCATCGTGAGGATTGTAACAATCATACTGAGTGCAATACCAGTCAATGCTTCCATCTTGTAAACGCAAACAATCGCAAATCGCACATTCATCTCGCTTGGTCTCGCCTATGGTGCATCTGGGCTTATCTAAAAATAATGTATTTTTTACTGTCACTTCAGTTACTACTTGTGAAGATAAAGAAAACCATAATATGTTTATCAAAATTCCTCCTCTATTGTGCAACTTACCAGCAATCACCACAGCAAACATCCCCAAACACAATAAACAAACAGTATTCATCTTAGTATAAGGTGTCGAATGATAATGATGCCGTTAGACTATTAACTGGCTATTTATACAACGTGGTGGTGGCGGGTTATTGGAAGGGGAATTGGTTTCCAACCGTTCCATTAACCTATTTGTTATTTACCTCAATTTTCTATCTACACTTGAATTTTGTACATCGATGACGAGACACTCGGCTGGAAAAATTTTCGTATTGGTGCGTACACGACATATACACAGTTTTATTACGTTAGTTACAGTCGTTATCGATAACAAGGGTACTTATCATAGAATGTCGATGACATGGTATGGCCCAGTATCAAGTGTGCCTACTACAAATTGTGCTTGAAAGCGGGTCGTGAAAGGCTTTGCAAAACGCACGCCATTGATTAGCACTTATTTGTACCGATTTCAATTATCTGCAAATAGATACAGGTGTATAGTGCACCCTAAGTTTTGGGAAGTACTCATTTGTTGGATGATTTGCAAAAAGAGTTAAAGACATCCCAAAATGAATCGGCAGACACGTAAAGAGTATTTCAAGTATATTAATCAACTTGCCTTCAGGAAGGCCTAATAGGTTTTCCAGTGGAATTTGCTATAGGAATACCTATAATGTAGGTATATTATTCATAAATAACTACTTTTTATTACGCAAAATTCAAAGATCAAAGCGATGGAATTGTTAGGGAAGTCGATGATGTCTGTCTGTCTGCCTGTGAACACGATATTTGGCGAACGCTTAGACCGATTCGGTTCAAACTTTGTACAGTTGACCTATATGTCACATGTAACAAGCCTATTGAAAGTGGATCAAATTCACTGATCCCGTCGTAGGGTCACACTGCTCTGCTTCTGTTAAGGGTCAATTAAAAGAATCGATTAGCTATATACCAAGGTGGCTTTTCTACGACACATAAAAACAAGTAAAATTGATGGCTGTAATTATTTATAAATGACAAAAACTCCGCTACTCCGGTATTTACTTAATGCATCTGTACAGAGTGCTTCAAATTCGTGGCTCGCAATTGGGATCTCTGTAACGGTGAGAGATAGTGTTAGTTAAATGGGAAGTTGTTCCTTTTTGTAACTAAAAATCCACATTTCAAATTATTGAAAAATCTTTGAAAATAGCTTAGATCATCACCGAAAAAGGGAAAATGTCGAATTTCGTTTTCATTTTCCCCAGCTTAAGAGTGGGAAATTGCAGTTCCCGTTAGTCCCTTCTATGGCGAATTTTTTTTTAGAAGCTGAATTTCCATATCACGCTGTAGAAGTTACTACTTACTTCTTTCTTATGGACGCCCTATTGGATTGTTACGAATAATAGTAATAAGATCAAGGAAAGAAAAAATAGAGATTGAAAGTGCCCTCTGCTAACATACGATTTTCGTATAGTGGAGGGCACTCCGTACCCTACACACCTCCAGGTGCCGAGCCTCCTGTTTGTTATGCTTGATGGACCCTTTTAAAAATGGTAATGTATTCTTCGTATACTCCGTACCTCAGACCTCCCGGTGCACAGTCTTGTGATGTTTTTATGATGGACACTTTTTTTAGCTATCGGAACTAACTTTATTTTTAGCGTATTTTATATATTGTTTGCGTTTTGTCCGTCCGTCCGGACCCAATTCTGCCGTTTTGAACTACTTCTAGGGGAATGGTCCCAGAGTCCTGGGATGTTGTGGACTAGGGAGCCTATACCTTGAAGGTGTGCCAGACGGCCATTAAACTTTACTGTCTTAAAGCCCCCCCCCCATATGCATGCCTCTAGTGGTGTCAAGTAAAACTTTTGAAAATTGGAGGAGGGTGGGTAAACATCCGATCTACCCTTCATGGTACTCTAATGAAAGGTCTCAACCCTGGTCTCAACGAAAGGAATTAATTTCTACCAACCATAGTTCTCCTGCTCGACCTCTTATTGTGATCGGATATATTCCCTTATATCTCATTAAAGGCAAGTGGTATACTCCCCAGCAAAAGAAATATTCAATGTCTCTTTGTATGTTAGAGTATGTTTCATGCACCCTTTTAAAAACATTGTAATGCTAAGGTCGTTAAATATTATTGAAAAGAAGGTAGAACCGGGGGGTTTGGGGGTATAAGAGATTGAGATTCTGCGAAAAAAAGACTACCCATAGAAGGTGCTAACGGGAACCGTCCATTTTCGACCGTTTAAGCTAGGGAAAATAAAAACGAAATTTACATTTTCAGTTTTTCCGTGATATCAGATTTTTCAAAAATTTCAAATGCATTTTTTTAGTCACAAAAGGGGACAACTTTGTCCCCATTTAACCTACACTGGTAGCGTTTTTCCTATGAAATATGAAGTAAAGAAAGGGCCCATACCTGAAAACATTCTCTGGTTTTAAAGAATTCCCCAATTTGTCGACCATGATCGTAGAAAGTACCCAGGACGCAAAAATGTACTGTGTTGATTACGAATTTTGCAAAATTCTCACTAATTTTTGATTTTTACATATTTATTATGAAATGAAGAGGTTCACTTGCCGCGTAACCATCCCTTGTTTTCTAAAAATCTTGCAAAATTCGTAGGCTATATTTTCCCATTTCCTATTAAATATACACTAAAGGAGTGGCCTGTATGGGGAAACTTCCCCTTGAATTTATAAATTCCTCAAAAGTTTGTCGACCATTTTTGCACTCTTCTTATTAAGTATGAATATAAAAAGTGAACATGTACTCTGTCTATTAGGAATATCTCAAAATTTGTCAATCACTTTTTGCTTCTTACTTATGCATTTTGAAATGAAAAAGTAAAAAATTTTCGCCCGAAGGAGAGTCACTTTAGCGCATTTTCCATGCAATCATCAGTACTTCCCAAAAGGTCATACAACAAACTATTTATGTGTACAAAAGGAAATATGTTAACGCATAGAAAGTTAGCATTGCGCAGTCTGCGCATGCGCACACTTAATGTTTACAATAGGCGATGTGTTTGCCTTTATTAGAAGCACAAGCATATGTGGTTAAAAGTTAAAAGTAATATAATTTAATAGTATATTAAGTAGCAAGAGATTAAAAAGAGTTTTTGTTCCTGAGAGATGGTTTAAAGAGGTTTGCCGAGGGCTTTAATATTTTTACGGGAACAAAAACTAGTTTATTCCAGTGTTGCTTAAACTATTTTTTCCAATACCGACCAATTTAAACTAGGATTTAAATCCATTTTTCAATTAATTGTTCACAAAAAACAAAAATTTTCCGGGTTTTTACAATCATAATAATTACGATCATTATTAAACAAACTTTTCACAATTTCAGTGTTTTCTTTAACGTTCCTTCCCTACTGTGCTTCAGGTCAAAGCGTTGTCTTCAACTAACGTAAGGGGGCCCTGCCTTAGATGTTTTATCACGTGCCACTTTTCAAATTTAAGCGGGATCTTGTTTAGTTTTAGAGTGAATAGTCATTCGGGTGGCCATTTTTAATCGTTGCCGGGTTTATTTAATTTCCGTGTTCTTGTATAGTGTGAAGTTAGCGTAGAACCTGGGGGTTAAGTACACTACACCTCTAAGGAGAGATCAACAATACGTTACCTTTTTTAACCTTTTTGTTGACATGAAAGAGCAGAGTAATACTATGTTGTCTAGCTAATAGTGCCAAACTTTCTATACAGTATAAAGTACAGTACAACGAAAGTAGTAAATTTATTGTGATGCAATGAAGGTGACAGTTATGATAATATGGGCGTTAAACTTTCATGGGCCGTCCTCATGGAAAACATGAGTCGTAACAAGTCCGCACAGGGTTCGTGTCTTTGTTTAATTATTGATGCATTTACAAGTACGGCACTCCTCTGTTTTCGTCTCTCCTTCTCTACACTCTCCTGTCGTTATATCAGTTTCGGATCCTTTCCTCGCAATCTGCTTGCGTGCAAAACCAATCGGTGATTCCATTTTGAAAGGTCATGCATTCGCATAAAGCACAGTTTTCATGCTTGGTCTCGCCTACTTTGCACGTATCCTCTAAAAAATGAATCATGCCATTGGTATAATGACCGTAAATATTTTGCCTCTTGTTACTGGCACAGAACAAGTTCGTCATTTGTGTTACATTTAAAGTTAAACCTACCTTTCCCTAAAAGCTCATCATGAGGATTATTGCAGTCCCAGTGAGTGCAATACCAATCGATGCTTCCATCTGGAAAGCGTAAGCAATCGCAAATAGCACATTCTTCTCGCTTGGTCTCGCCTATTGTACATGGGGACTTATCTACAAAGAAGAGAATTAGTAATTTTTATCGTGCTTAAATACTAAGTAATAAAACGCTCATCAGTGGTAATCGTTTTATTAATGGTGAAATAGAAATGTAAACAGAATTTCACTGCAAAAAATAGAAGTTAGAAGCTTCATTTTGAGGTATTCTACAAGCTACTCCATGAATGTGAAAATCGAGTTCGTCAATTTTGTGCAAACCTTCAACACTTACCAGCAAGCACCACGGCAAACAAGCATAAACACACTATCGCTACGGTTTTCATTTTGATTTGAAGTTTAGAACTGTAATGACATCGTTAGGGTATTCACCTTCGATTTATACATGGCGTAATCGCTTTTGGAGGGAGGGAATCACTATCCCATTTGTGTTATTTGTCTACCGATACTTGAATTTTGTCCATCGATGACGATGGTGTTGGCTAGAAAAAGCCGAGCGAGTGTATTGTTTATTTGATTTTTACTACATTAGTTACAATAGATAACGACAATACGATGAAGTCTACCTACTCAGTAGAAAATGTTTCTTGAAAAGTATCGATTTGTCCCTAGTTGAAATGATGGTTTATGCTTAGACGATAAGAGGTCATTATTATAACCACTTATACTTTCTTGAAAGAAATTTCGTGCAGACAAATTGGTTTTACCTTGGCACTATGTTGGTGCATACAATCAAGATCCGAAAAACTATTACAAAGAATTGATCCAAATCATTGAATCTGAATAGCTTGAAAATGTTCCGTGTAAACTACTGGATTTCGATCCGATATTAGATTTAATTATAAGAGAATTCGCTTTATTATTAATTATTATTTTCTAAAAATGTGTTCCTCAAAAAATCGCTCGTGATGTGGCCCTAAAACAATGAATAAATGAAATGTTCTCATACTTAAACTGTGAAGGAGTAGGTAGCCATCTGAAAACTACTTCTATTATTTCACTCTCATAATTGTATTGTGTAAATACCAAATTCTTGCAAAAAAATTTAATGCACACATGTAAATCCCATCCGGTCAACATATCCCTAGGAAAAGTCGTTTAAGATAAATATAAATAATAAGAAGTGAAACAAAAACATATCTCAAGTGTTAACACTGTTACTCCTTTTCTTGGCATCGGTGGAGTATCTGGGAACAAAAACGTATGGTTCCTATATGCCAGACTTTCAGATTCTATCAAACACCTCGGGTAGTCTCTTCGCGAGCATAATTTTGAAATATTCCATACATTTAATTGGCATATGCGATTGCCAGCAGCTTCATTTTTTGATAATATAAAAGTCATTTGATTCTGATGATTATTTCCACTTGGGCTTTCCACGACTGCTTAATTGAAGTTCAAGGGTTCGCGTCCAAATGGATTGCATTATGTCTGTCCTTCATGTGTGTTGAGGATCATTTGGGACGAATGTTGTCCCAAAATCTCTCTCAGGAGGAGTGATCATTAATTAACGACGTGTGCGAGTTGGTCTAGTTATTAGTCAAGTACCTACAACTTGGAGTACGTACACTTGATATACATAAGGGTGTACCCATGGTCGACATTGTTATCACATTGTTGATAACAATATTGTAACTAACGTAGTAGAATGATGATGACGTGTTCGACTAATACTAAAATCGCGCAAATAAAATACTTGACTATTTTTCCAGCAAACTATCGCGTCATCGATGTACAAAATTCAAGTATAGTTCGACATAGCGTTTCCCTTGGAAACGAACCCACCATATCCAAGTTGTATAAATTAACCGTTGACACTTTAAACAATATCATTACCATTCCAAGCTTTGAAGTAAGATGAAGACCACTGTTCTATTCTGTTTGGCGCTGTTTGCCGTGGTGCTTGCTGGTAAGTAATTTTGCTTCCCTGTGGGATACTGTATCAGTGTAAGAAATTATCACTGATGAATTTGTAATGACAGTTTTCCATTCTTTACCTTCAGAAAATATCCGAAGTGAAACATAGTAATAGAATGCATTCCTTTTAGATAAGTCCACATGCAAAATAGGAGAGACGAAGCGAGAAGAATGTGCTATTTGCGACTGTTTACGTTTGCAAGATGGAAGCATCGATTGGTATTGCACCCAATATGATTGTACCAATCCTCACGAAGAGCTCCTAAGGAAAGGTGGGTCCTCTTAACATTTACTTTGGCAGGAAAAAATTCCTAGATTTTATTTGCACTTTTCACTTTATACCCTAAGTAAGTAGCTTATTTGTAAAGTAACTAAAAAAAATGCCCCAATTATAGTGTTTATAGAGGATGTACACATTATTAAATTTTATTTTTTACAGAGCCCACGTGCAAAATAGGCGAGACCAAGCATGAAAACTGTGCATTATGCGAATGTATGACCTTCCAAAATGGAATCACCGATTGGTTTTGCTCACAAGCAGATTGTCATTTTGATGAACGTTCGAAGAGAGGCTCCCCAACTGATACAGCTAACGGAGAGTGTAGTGCAGGCGAAACGAAAACGGCGAAGTGCCGTACCTGCAAATGCATCAATAATGAAACAAAGACACGAACAATGTGGACTTGTCACAACTCATGTTTTCTAAGAAAACTTTTCATGTAATTTAAAAACTTGCTTTCATCATCATTACACAATTATTTATTACATTTTCGCCTTTATTTTATATCATAATAAAATTTGTCTTTATTATATACACTATAATATTAATTAGAACCTTTTCACAATATTGCCCATTTCCCAATACCTCTTCCATGATACCCAGCAGCAAAGTTTGTTGATAGTGTCGTTCCAGAATCATCTTGGTTTTAGGGGGCATCCAAACCATATTTTCTTTTTTCTGTTTTATATTTTTTTAATACTCGCTGCTTGCTATTCTGCTTTGGCTGTTTCATTACGTCTATTGTTGCCAAGTGTTTCCCCAATGTTTGTTCTTTGATTTGTATGTTAGTAACCTGCGATTTCTTTCAAATGTAAGTATTGGCTTGCTACTTATGTTACTTTGTATAGTCAATTCAGCGCAATAAATGGCAAGTATGCAATGTGCCTTAGGCGCGGTTCCCACTGAAGCGATGCGTTAAGCGATGCAACAGGAGCAATCTTTTATCGCCCGATGCAACTTTTATCTTCGCAACACTCCAGTGCACACTGGAGCGATAATGTAGCCTCTAGGATAAGCAAAAGAGCAGTTGTTTTGATCAGTCGTCATGAGTTCCTCAGAGCGCTACTGCGAACTATGGAATCTGCCCAATTGTATTGGCTCCATCGATGGAAAGCATATTCGCGTAAGGGGCTTTAAGCTTTTCAGCTATTTGTTTCCACGTAACACCTGTCAAATCAGTCCTGCTATAACTTTTCAATGCATAGTTCCATAAACACGCTTTCTGCTCCACCAATTTCACGAAGGAAATAGAGGATTGCACGTCTTCTTGCTGACCGGCATGATTAATCGGACGTGTCGAACGATATGCGCTCAAAGCGACCCCGGCAGCTATGTCTCCCCCCGACGCGACTCCGATAATTATCGGTGTAGTATCGCGATCGCTCCAGTGTGTACCAGATAAGTTGCTTCCATTACGTTTGCACGATTATGAGTGATCGGTGTCGAATCAGGATCGGGTTGCTTATCGAATCGCCTGTTGCATCGCTTATCGTATCGCTCCAGTGGGAACCGCGCCTTAAAAAAAACAACCAACACCCATCTATGTAACCTGAACTGGGAAGAAGATGTGATTTTTGTTTATAGTTTGGTGCTGCTGAATTTTCGCTTTTACTAAGGTTAATGTAAAGTAAATGAAGATTTAAAATGATTGCCAAAAAATGCAGCTGTGTTCTTCAATTTAAACACTTTGTATGCAGCCATCAGCAATTATTGATCAATTGGAACGGGTACACCGTAAGATGATGTTGAAAGACTTCCTATCCAGACGTACCACCCTCTCTCAGACCCCTGATTCCCCTTCCAAATATTTCTCCTTACCGTACATTGGTCCCATATCAGAAATAATAGCCCGTCTCTTCCGTCCCCTCAAAGTTTCCATTTCCTTCTCTGTCAAGAACAACTTAAATTCTATCTTAGTCAAAACCAAAGACCCAATACCTCCTTTATCCAAGTCTGGAGTTTATAAATTGGTTTGTTCAGATTGCCCAGCTTGTTACATTGGACAAACTGGTCGTTCCTTTAAAATTCGGTTCTCTGAACACATCACTGCCATTAAGAATAACAACATAAGCTCTGTTCAACCTAATCCCAGTTCTTCCTTCGCTCACCACATCCTTAGTTCAGGCCACTCGTTTTCTAAAGAGGACTTCAAAATTTTGCATGTTTGTAACAAAAGTCTTAAATTGGACTTTCTTGAAATGAAAGAGATTTACCTCCACTATAGGACGAATCCTCAACACTCCCTTAATGAAATCCTTCACTTAAATAAAAATTTGCTTTTTCTTACCAAGTAGTTTCCGACCCCGATACGCTTGTCAGCCCTTCGTTTTTAGTTTAAGTTTACGTTGCCCTTTTTCTGCCTTCAGCAGATCAGGGTTGTTACTTTTGGGCTTCTATTCAGTCCGTGAGTCCCGACGACTACCTTCAGTAGAGACAGGGTATTTTGGCCCATTAAATTTAAATATTTTCTAAAAACAATAGCCTAATGTAAGCTAAGTTACATTCTTTTCACCTTTCTTCTTTTTTCGTCCCATAACCAATCCGGCCCCTTTTTCCTTTTAATTTTCAAATTTTTCAAGTTTCCCGCTTTTGCCCCTTCCCTTTAGTTACTTAACCTGTCGTATTTAGTTAGCACATTTCACTTTGCTTGTCAAGATGGCTGCGTCCATCTCGTCTCCTTTAATTTTAATTTAAACAATTGTTTATAATATGTGAGGACAAAAAAAGTCTTTAAATTGTTAATATTGTAATTGTTTCCATGTTCTAATAAGTAATTTTTTCCCGTAAGTATAACTATTTTCTAGACTCGTTTTTAACACATGTTTTACAGCATATTGATAACCAAATGTACCATTTTAATATGTAATTTTCAACCACCTTTATATGTTCCTTTAAACTTAAGGTAGGTCACTTAAGGTTAGTCATTGTTTCAAATTATAATATTTCAGCTTGATAATGACCTTCGGGTCGAAACTATAGTCGCTGTCACCTAATGCCTTGAATCTAAAACCTGAAACAATTAAAAGAAGTATGGGGAAGGTTTAGTGTCTTTATAAATCCACTTATTAGTAGGTACCTATATCACGTGGCGGGTTTGGATATTTCCATGTGCTTTTATGGTGAAATGTTGTGTGAGATGAGCGAATTACGTTCGTAACATTCATGCAATTATCGTTTAAGTGCATTTGGAGTGGTAACAACTTAAAATGATATCATCTATCACGTAATTGTTTCGTGAAAAAAATATTCTTGTTGTGCATTTTACATACACTACAATTTTAAGTACGTTGCCTGTCAATAGCTTTACATAGCCGTGGATTTGAACACTCTTTCAAATTTTGAATCGCGTCTTGAGTAGGGGGGTCACATGGACTACATTTTTCCCTTCCTTCCGCTCCAATCCGCAACTTTACCTACCCTTAAATTCCCGTTCTCTGACTGAAGACTGAAGAGGGTCAAACAATCCTGAACAGGCCGCCTGGCGTCTATGTAGTCAGGGATGTCGGAGGAATGAAAGACGATTACCTTTTTTCTTTTTCCTTTCAACGTTTTGCAATAAGCGAGAAAACTATTATGCCACAAGTTGATTAGCTGAAGACAATACTCACATATTACCAGAGCTGGGCAGTATTTGATTTTGTAAATACTT